AGAACTGTAGTTCATCAGCTCACTTAATAAACTCTCTGAAATTGCTGTACTGGCATCCAACTGGTATGTAGTTTGCTTCAAGTAGCCACGTAGGTTATTCTAGACAGTAGAATAGTGAGAGAAGAAGTACTCCCAAGGAGAAAGAATGGTATATACAAGGGAAAATATGTTACAGAACATTGGAGGTTTAGGTATATGTATGTATATGTATATGCATATGTATATGTATATGTATATGTATATGTATGTATATGTATGTATATGTATGTATATGTATGTGTGTGCATGTGTGTGCCTAGATACATGTCGATGTACATACTCGCATACATATGCACCTATATATAGATACCCACATAAATTTTAAGATAGTTTCCATTAGGTCAGATTCACAGACCACAAAAGGATTCTCTCAGAACCCACTGAAACGCGTCCTCCCAACTTCCACATCAGCAGAGGTGCCCTGCCACCTAGCGGTCACGTCCTCAACTGCTGAACTTGCTGGTTAAGGCTCCCTTTCCCCAGGGCCTGTGAAGGACTAAGACACATCCAGGTAGCAAAACCACATAAATTATAACACAGGTGGAGATTTAAAGCCCAGTAAGAATGTTGAGGTTAAGGTTTTTGTCTCTCTACACTTCTCAGTAACCTTTGAATAGTTGGAAAGAGGTGGATGCTGGGGCTTTTTATTCAATGATGGCCTTGCTTTGCATAGGTTTTGTCTGAAATCTGGAGCACACCAGAATTCACTTTGTAACAGAGAAAATAAAATGCTTTCCTATTCAGTCTAATCAATCACCTTCATTTGTCTGAGCTCCAGGAAAACTCTTTCTAAAAGGATTATGTGATCCAAAGACCAGCCTGAGAGAGAGAACACTCAGCGCCTCAAATGCCTATTAGCTCTTCTTTCACTAAATATGGTCAAATCTCAGTAATAAGAAGCAAGGGACAACTTTCATGAGTTTTTAATATTTCACCTATAAGAAATAGCTGGCCCATAGATTTGGTTGACTTGCAATATGTTATCTGACATGCTTGAAGAAATCTTACAGTACCCTGTACTTTATATCCAGAAAATTATTGAAAGAGTTAGAAATCTAAAAAAAGCACTGAGTTGCAGATTTAGAAAACATAACTTTATGTGAGCTTATTCTTGAGTTGATTTCATTTTCTGTATTGAAATGAGATTCATGTTCTAAAATACATCGACTGACTTATATCCTTAGTGAAATTTCTCCTATTAGCCAAGTCTTCGGCATGCATTCCTGCTTCCCTGGCCATGGCTGGCTCAGACTCTATACTATATCATAGGTAAAGCATAGCGATTAGAGTTAACAATACCTATTTTTCACTTGAAAGTGGCTAGAAGAGTATATTTTAAATACCCTCTCTATAGCAACAACACTTGGGAATTATGTCAAGTGAATGAATATTAATTAATATCACTATGATAAAAATATTATAATATATTTGTATATCAAGTATCCCATTACACTACTTAAACTTCCACAATGCTATATGTCAGTTGTATTTCATAAAAAAGCTGGGGGGGGGAGCAAAATACTTATGGTTTTCTTGAATGGGTGGCATGTCCTAAATGAAATTACTGATTCACCTCCTATGTGAAATGTCCTTTAAACTATAAGTCAAGTCTACTGGCAGGGATTCCTGCTGTCCTGGCCATTGCTGGCTCAGATAGCATTGGATATTATTTTTTCCCCAAACTGTAATTCAGCCTACTTCCCACCAAATATTTAGAAAGTACTGCAGTCTTATGTAAATTTCCAGAGTTCTCTCTCTCTCTGTCTCTAAACTCCTTTGTCAGAAACTTAATTTTGGGGGATTATCTTGATGATAATAAATCTAGGGAAACCATGTATTCCCTACATCATGGGAGAGGGTTCAAATAGTAGCTTTCCTTAAGACTTGATCATGGAAAATGATTCCTGGAAAAGAAAATCTACCTCATTTCCAAAAGTGGATATCCTCTTCCAGTGATATGTGCTCACCAGTCCCCTGGAATTCAAGAAAAAATCTTCTCCCTCCTCCACATTTCACACTATCAAAGATTTTAAAAGCTCTGGTGAAAATTATCCACTCTATGTATAAACTGTCCTTTCACATATATAAAACTTCTCAATTCTGAAAATCAGGTATTTTCTCACCAGAAAAGGATAAGCAATTTCCTATTGCTTCCACATTCTACCTACTTTTAATGTCATCATTGCCCCACTCCAATCAAAGTACAGGTGTCTTCTAGTTTTCAACTTACTTAAAAATGTAAATTTTTGTGGAAGCATTTTAATGTTCCCACCTTGATGTATTCTGTAACTGCTAGACATTGTGTAGGAAACTGGTATTACTCCATGCTGCAAATATGATTCAAAGTGCATGTTTAACAATCTCTGAATGGTTTTCAATTGTCGCCACATCAACACTTAGTTGTTAGCTGAAGCTTCATAAAACTAAAAGGAGAATCTGAAAACTAATTTGCAAAAGCTACAGAGAGACAGCCTGCACCCCTCCCAGGAAGGGGTGGGGAGAGGCCCAGCTGCAGTTTGGGTGCAGGCTGCAGCTCAGCCCTGAGCACTGTGCCTGCACCGCACACAGGTAGGTGCCTGAGTCGTCCAGCTGGGAGCCGGTGATGTCCAAGGTGCTATCTTTTTTAAAATTCAATGACGTGGTTAACCTTCCCTCCTGCTTCTTTGTCTCTGAAGCTGTGTAAGACAGGGAGACCAAGCTGCCCCCCGGCTTCTGTCGGAACCACTGCACACTTCTCACGGTGGTAGAAAATTTGCAGGTCAGAGTGAAGTTTGTTCCCTCCTGGAGACTCAGGGTTGGAGGACTCTGCTCCACCTGCATTCCTCTTACCACTGCATGAAGAGAGAAGAACAGACATTAGATCTCAAGTACAGGCACTGATGCAGATTACAAGCTTGTAAAATAGCCCAAGAAACACCATGAGTGTGGAGAACCCCCAGAGCTCCCTGTCAGCATTCCTCCCCTCCCCCACGGTCAGCTGTGGCCTTCTCCCCTAACCCCACCTGGGACAACCCCAACTCACAGACAATCTGGAACCACAGAAGCCCCAGCAGAGCACCCCACTGTGCCATGATCCCTGCCCTGGAGCTGGAGTCCCTTCACCCTGCCTAGAAGCTGTCCAAACTTGGGTGCAGGCAATCACAGCCCACATGGTCCACAGAATCACTGAGCACCAATGCCATCTGAGCTCTGCCACCACCTGAGCAGGAAACCCCACCCACAGCGGCCCTGTGAGACTACACAGTAATCTCAACAACTGTGGGAGCAAACAGTGCAGGGGGGTATGTGAGGTTATAAGGTTTGTTTGGTTGTTTGTTTCTCAAAACATGTTATATGAGAAAAGTGCATGGGTTATCTTGTGAGAAAGAGAGAGACACACTCGAAAAACAATCAGTGTCTCAACTGGGTAAATTTTGTGTTGAAAGGAATGAAACCTTGAAGCAGAGTCTGGGGGAGATGCCTCATTTCCCAAATTGCTACTTTGGCCTAAATTCTAGTATTCAGTTATATGAAAATTCTGTTAGAGGAATTCTCTGATAAGTTGCATTGTATACTGAAGAAGAAAATATATTTTCTGATAGCAGGTGAGTTCTAAAAATCTAGGACATGTGATTACCCTCTGCAACAAGTGTTGGTGAAAATTACACTCTAATTTTCCCTCTCCGCTTCTCCCATCTGGACCCACATGGACCCACAGATTCTGGTCAGGGCACACACTGCTCTCAGATTAACACTTTTTCATTTGTTCCTTCCATTTGTTTCTTCTTCTTTGTTTTTTCCTCCCTTCTTATACTGCCCTTGATCATCTAATTCTTTCCCATCCAGAGGAGAATCATAATAAAATAGAATTAGTCACACTAAAATTAATTACAAGTTTATGGATTTTGGGTATTCAATACCATAAAAAATTTCTATTTAAAATCAGCTGATGGGGTGATGTTCTGTTGAGCTCCAGACTCAAACGCTGAGTGCTGTTACTGTTCCTGCAACTCTGCTCAGGGGGATCGTTGGCAGCAACGCAGGTTTTTCAGTTTATCATCTG